CCTGCCACAGATTGTGGCTTCAGGATACCAACTCCTTGGTGAGGAAGATCCCAGAATAATATTATATAAAATAATAATAATGTTATTTTTTCTGGGAGCACCAAGTCAAGTCCCTCAAGAGAGGGCTCCGGTCTCTTGCTGAATTCCTAAAGGGTAGAGTCAGACACCTCTCAGTTTCCCTGTCCCCACGCCCAAAGGAGCCTCTCCTAACTCAAGAATTCATCTGAACAACTGACTCCTCACAGGACCAGCTTCCTGAGGCAGGGCAGACAGAGAAAGCTGTCTCTAAGGGTGTCCGGTACAGCTAGGAAGGGTTTCCCTGGGATCTCTAGGAAGCCAAGTCTGGGGAGGCCACGTAGTACAAGTGGCACTGATGGGCAGAGCAACACCCATCTCCTGCTCTGAATCCTGCCTGGGCAGAGGAAAATAAAAGTTGTCGAGCAGACCTGGCATGCCCGGCCCAGGAGAAGGGAGATAACAGTATCACTGGGAGATAAGACCCCCCCCCCCCCAGCCCGAGTGCACCTAGCTGCCAATGCTGCTCCAAGGAGCCACCTTGGAGATAGTGTCAGTTTTTCCAGCCTCTAGTGGTACCCAACTCAGGTGTCTCAACAGCTGCTCCTGGGTGTCTTAGAAAACCAAGAAGCTCAGTCTCCCCACAAGGCCCCATGGTTCTGCCAGACCCATCCAGGAGAGCAAAGGGCCACAGGCTGATTCCAAATCTTTTCTCCCAGGGCAGGCAGGGGCGGGGAGAAAGAGGGCAGGAAGGGCACCTTCCCTTCAAGTGTCTTGAGGGTGCGTGGAGCAGCGCAGGAATGTTCTTACTCCCCTGCCCGCCCCCCACACAGGGTGTAGCGGAGGGGGATGTCTGGGCGGAAACAGATCACGGGTTCTACACTCAGAAGACAGACTCAGAGCCACAGACAAACGGACACACGTGCATGCGCACATTCACGGACAGGGAGAGTGTCTTGCCCATCAGCCCTCCACCCTGGCTTTCCCAAAAGAATAAGGGAATTAATTTTTAAGGACCAGAGAAAGGAGGATGTCAGACTAGGAAAGGTCAATGCCCTCTCCCCCCTGACACCTGTCCTCATGATAAAATTCAGACCTTCAGCTTCAGTGACCAAAAGCCTACATGGGGCTAACTGGCACTTTTCTTTTTTTTCTTTTTAAATCCTTCTAGGAAAGTTAACAGATTCTGGTGGTGGTGGTGGGGGTACCTGCTAGGTACTAGGTCATCTGATCTCGTGTTTACATGTTCTCAGCAACCACTAGGAAACTCAGGCCCAGTGTGGCTAAGTGTCAGACCTAAGACTATTCGGCAAGAGCTGGAAGACAGGGTTCAGAGCCATCTGATGTTGGGGAACGAGGTTACTGTGCGTTTTTTGAAAAAGGGTCTTAGGGCTGGAGAGATGGCTCAGCAGTTAACATTTTCCAGAGGACTCAATTCCATTCCCAGAACCCACGTCTGGCAGCTCATCAAATACCTGTAGCTCTGATATCATCTGGTCTTGTCCACATGTGGCATACACTCACGGAGACACACACACACACACACACATAAATTAAAAGTAAAATCACACCAGGTGGTGGTGGCACACGCCTTTAATCCCAGCACTAGAGGGGGCAGAGGCAGGCGGATCTCTGTGAGTTCAAGGCCAGACTGGTCTACAAAGACTTCCAGGATAGCCAAGGTTATACAGCAAAATTCTGTCCCGAAAAACCAATCAATCAATCAATAAATAAATCCCAGCACTTGGGAGACAGAGGCAGTTCTACAGACTGGGTTCCAGGACAGCCAGGGCTACACAGAGAAACTCTGTCTTGAAAAAACAAAAATAAAATAAAATCAAGAGGCTGGTCTTGTAGTCCCGTTTGCCCTCCAGTTTGTAGCAACCTTCCTGCCTGTCTCAGGGGTGCTGGGATGCAGGGGTAAGCTGCCCATCCAGCTCCTTGTCTGTTCTTCAAATGAACATAGAGCCTTCCTTTCTTTTTTCTTTTTGATACTGTTGTTCATTGAATATTATTTTATGGCCAGCAAGATAGCTCAGCAGGTAAAGGCACCTGGCAACAAGTCTGATGACCGGAGTTCAATCCTTAGGACCTGCATGGTGGAAGGAGAGAACTCTCCTAAGTTGTCCTATGACATACATACATACATACACACACACCACAACATGTGCATGCCCAAACATATACACATGCACACATACAAATAAAATTTAAATGTAATAAAAGACTAAATTTGTTTTTCAAAACAGTTTCTCTGTGTAGCCTTGGCTGTCCTAGAACTTGTTCTGTAGACCAGGCTGGCCTCGAACTCAGAGATTCACCTGCCTCTGCCTCCCAAGTGCTAGGATTAAAGGCATGTGCCACCATGCCTGGCTTGAGACTAAATATTTTGATATAATTAAAATTATCCCAATCTATATCTAAAGAGGAGCCATCATTGCCTCAAGGAAGAGTAGAGATGCAGAATGTCCCGAGGACCTGGAAATGCTCTCCATGGACTGGCCCAAGCTGATCAGAGAACAGAAAGCTTGCTTTGAGTCCTGTCAAATGTTCTGCGTGCAGATAACTTTTAAAACTTCCGAACTCAGCTGGGTGGTAGTGGTGCACGCCTTTAATCCCAGCACTGAGGAGGCAGAGGCAAGCGGATCTCTGTGAGTTCAAGGCCAGCCTGTTCCACAAAGCGAGTGCCAGGTCAGCCAGGGCTACAGAGAGAAACCCTGTCTCGAACCAAAAAACCAAAATACAAGCAAGCAAGCAAACAAACAAACCTACCGGTCTTGTACAGTAGAAACATCTCTTCCTCCATCCTCCCGCCTCTCTGGGTAGCTTACTACAGGGACCCAGGGGATTTTCTCCCAGACTCACTCTAACTTTGATTTCTCTTAGGGAGGCCACAGTTCTTCGGCCGTGCAGCGCAGCTCAGTTCTTCCCACAAACATTTCCTTGTTACCCTGACACACCCATTCTCTCCCGGCTCAGAACGGCCTCAGTCTCCAGAGCCTGCACCAACGTAGGTACCCAAGGGAAGGGACGCGGTATCTAAGCCCCGCCCTCCATACCGGAAGCTCACCTGTTTCAGGTGAAAACCTTTAAGAGCTACACCGCGGTTACCCCAGTTACGGCCACGTCCCACAGCTAAGGCCCAGTGTGTCCACCAACTGTCCAAACACAGTGAAAGCATAGCACACTTTCTTTGACAAGAATTTTCCACTCCTTGCCAAGTCCCACAGTGCAACCCCCAGCCATCAGCGTGTAAAACAGTCTGGGTCTCCATACCGTCGCCTAAAGGTGTCCAAAGCCGCCCCGAGCGTAGAAGTGGCCCCCTTTCTACGAGAGAACCAGGTCCCACCCGCGGACTTCCTGCATCGGAGGATTAGGAGGCACAAAGGGAGGGCAGGGAAAGAGCCCAGATGGCAGAGGTAAGGGCTAAGCCGCCAAGGTAACACTCTCCAGACGCCGCTGGCGGACGCCGGGTCACGGGAAGCCGTGTCGCCCGGCTTTGAGTCCAGGCGCCTCGCTCGAGGGTCCGGGACTGGGTCTCCGCTCACCGTGTCCCCCTGCACCCAGCCAGGCCAGACACCTGTTCCCTGCTCCCGAAAGCCAACACGATTGTGCAAACCCGAGTCCCAAGTTTGGTAATCCGTGTGGCGAAACAGGAAAAGACAAGTTCTCAGAGCCACTTTCTACAGGTGTCTTTCTCCGGGACGAGCCAAACGTCGGAGATCTGGGCGAGCAAGGAAGGCAGACCTGGGCGCTGCCTTCTCCGACCCGCCCGGGGAAGCCCAGGGGACTCGGATCCCCTCGCGCCGCGCCGCCCCGAATGGTCCGCGCCCTCGAAGACCGTGTAAAGCCAGGTAGGCTCACCTGCAATCGCCGGCCGGGCCCTGCCAGAGGCCTCGGCGTTCCTCGGCGCCCGTCACCCGCCGCTCCGGTTCCCCGCGCCGGCCCACGGGCTGCAGGGCGGCCGTCTCCTTCCTGCTCACCTCCGGCGCTGCGAGCGGGGGGGGGGGGGGGGGGGGGGGGGCGGGGGGGGGCCGCTGGACCGGAGGGGGCGCGGAGGGGGCGCCCCCCCCCCCCCCCCCCCCCCGCCCCCGCCGGGCGGGGGGGGGGGGGGGGGGGGGCGCCCGGCCGGGCCGGGGGGGGGGGGGGGGGGGGGGGGGGGGGGGGGGGGGGGGGGGGGGGCGGAGCCGCCACGATTTACACACAGGGCAAGCCTGCCGAGCTCGCACCCCGCCCCTGGACCCGCCCCCTAGGCGGAGCCAATGGGGCGGGGGCGCAGCCTTCGAGCCCTCGAGGGCGGGGGCCGCGCTCTGGCCAATCGGGGCCCCAGGAGCGCGGGGCGGGGCAGCAGCGAGACGCACCTAGTGCAGCCAGCCCGACCCCGCCCTCACCTGCGCGCACCTGGTCACAGGACTGCTCCCTGTTGCCAGTGTCCCACCACCTCCCGGAACAGGAAATAGTCCCTAGGTGCCTTCTAGGATGAATGCCAGGTATCAGGATATGTTACTCTCGCAACTGTTGAGAGAGGGGCATAGCCAGGCGGGCTCCTCAAAAGAGCGTTCCTTCCAACTAGAATGACCCACAGGTGCAGGTTTCAGACCCGAGTAGGGCGGTGTAGGAACGAAGGCATAATGGCGAGATGCCTAACCACTGCTGGGAGCCCCCCACTTCTGTCTTCAGTGGTCGACTAGAGCCCAGGGTCCAAAGGGCTAGCCACTGTAGCTAGGCTAGTTTTTTTTTTTTAGCTCAATCTTGGGAGTTACAAGTGGGGAAAAGAATCATGGGGTGGTCCCTCTGAGTGGCTGGGGTCGAATCCAACCCGACAGAGGCCCTCAGCCACCACCCAGCTGCACTCGGGTTAGGACCAACAGGACTGTCTCCTCAGGCGTCCGTCAGACCTCGGTGTTAGAAGTCAGACAGACAAGTTCAGCGTGGACAAATGAGGAACCAAGGGAAGGGGTAGTCCAGTAAGTATATCAACCACAGCAGAGAATATTTCTTTTAATGGCTTTGGCTTTATGGCACGAAGCAGGCACCCCACTGTTTAAAAGGCACAGAGTCCTCTCTTCTGCCCCATCTCCTGGGCCTCTGAAATCAAGTCCTGAGTTCCAAGGGGGTCACTGCCAGGCAAGAGGGCATGGGGCAAGGCTTCACTCCCCTACAAACAGCAGATACCCAAGGCTGTAGACCATACTGGCCCAGACAGTTCCCGGTGAGTCCTGTACAGGAGTCAGCCGACATGGTCCCTGAGAGTATCCAAGTCCCCCAGCTCCCATCCCCAGAGCTGCATTTCAATGCTCCAGATCCCTGGGCAGTGTGAAGTCTCTGAAGCTATAGAAGGAGATGTCACCGTGATCCACCAGGGCAAAGATCAGGGGGACATCCCCACTCTGGTAGGTCAACCGCTTGAGGCTGCAGAGATCTGGGACAGGCTCGTCAAATCTGTAGGAATAGAGATTAAACTGAGGCCTAGTCACAGCCTACCCACGGCCCCGGGCTGCCCCCACTCCCAGACGTCCAGAGTAGGAAGGCTCTAAGACAAAAGCTAGGAATACAAGAATACTGGCCCCGGGCTCTGCTGTCTACAAACTCCGTGGCTTTGATGAACTTTCAGGAGCCCCAGAGTAGAGGGAGAGCAGGACAGAGTGGGTTCTCACCACTCTTAGCCAGAAATCCCTTCACATCAGTTCCCTCCTGCTGAGTGAGCCCAGGACTAAAGCGGAAGAGAAGAGAGTTTACTGCAAAATGCCTGTAATGAGGAGCCAAGGATTCAAAAGCTTGGGTTCCTATGGCACCAACTGGCCATATGGCCTTAAGATAGGTGGCACTTAACCCTCTGGATGTCAGATTCTTCTCAGGGACTGGCAAAGTGGTGGCAGGGATCAAGCGAGAGGCTGGCAGCAGGCAGGGTACTGCTCAATCATCTCGTACCCACTAATGCACATCCGGACATAGGGTTTGCCAGGGTTGTTTTTTCGGAATGTAGCCACAGCGTCAGCCTGGTAAACATCGAAGCTGATCTCCAAGCCTCTCGAATTCTCCAGCAGCCTGAGGACCAGGTAAGAAAGGTTACAAGGACTTCTTCTCCCACCTCCCTCCACACCAAACCCTCTCCCACTACCACGTCTGCATAGCAGCTTAGTCATGGGATAGACCCAGCATCTTGTCATTCTTCCCTTTCCCTGACGCACACGAGTAGCTGTCACTGGAAACTAAGTATGTGGGCAGGTGTCCCTGGGGTGATCCTCTGACTCACACCCAACTCCAGGAATCAAATCCCAGCTGTCGTTCCACCTGGCAGCCAGTGTCATGGAGACGGCGAGCGCAGCTGAGACTTACCGGTAACCTCCGTCAGCAAGGTGTGCTGTCTGCAGCACGGAGACTTGATCAAGGACCGCGGCTACAAGGGCAGTGAAGAAAAGATATGGAGGAGGGGAGTCAACGTCCTACATGCTCCTGTGGTGCTACCAAAATCTGCTAACCAGGTTAGGACCACCAGATTTACCAGAATGTATTCAGTAAGGTATGCTCCACACAGTAGCAGTATTTAGAACACGCTTATCTGGTAACCCTGCTCTCCTCACCCACCACTCTACCATGTTCCCATGATGCCTTTACGGAGTTCTGAATCTGTTAACTACACTTAGCTCAGACCACAGACTTAGTTCCTTGTGTTTAAAATCAAAACCAAGAACAGACAGTGAACTTTCCTCTTATTTGACTAAAACCTCTGTGGCGCCACCATGTTCTGGCTAACAGGCCGTAAAGGTGAGGGACTTGAAATTGGTTGCTGGCAAAACCATCCAGCATTCTTGGGTATGGCCTTAAAGATGCGGGTACACCCTGCAAGTGTCCCTGGGCAATCTGGGCTCTGCTGGGGCCACGGTCCCCACCTACAGAGGAGCCTGTGTGGAGCCCACGCCACTGTACCTTCTCCTCTCATACCTTAGGCATCAGCCAGCCCTGGTCAAAATAGCCCTTTTCAAGTCTCATGATCCTTCTGCTCCCAGTGGCCTATGGTATAGCAGAGTGAGGGGATACCTGGGGAATCTGCTTTATCAGGGTTGAGCAAGGGAGTAACAGACTGGCCCCATAGGTGTGGAGGGCGGGGCTGGCTCTTCTGCAGCTGTCTCCTCTGCAGCAGTTCCTTGTACTCCCGCCAGCTGGAGCAGCCCTGCACCTCGGGATCTGCGTTCACATCCTCCCGGAACTGCTGCACCTCTGCTTGCTGGTCCCGGTCTCTCCGGGAAAGCTTCTCCTTCCGCTGGTTCAGCTTTTGGCACCAGGACTCAGCATCTGTCCCTCGCCCAATGACATTGGCGGGGAGCAGTTCTGGGGCTGGGGCAGGCAGAAGGGTGTGGCGGCTATCTGAAGCCATGTTGGGGAAGGAGATCTGCTCAAAGTTCCAGCGTGGTTTAGGAGCCCCCTTGGCTCCATTCTTGATTTTATCATTCTCCTGGCCACACTCCACATCCTCCCTGGCCAGAGCAGGGCAAGGCTCTGAAGACCCCAGAGCCTGAAAGGAGGGTCCTGAGCCCTTTCTGGGACTTGACTCCTGGGGCTTCTCTGAGTACTGGCTACTCTGGTCACAGGCAGGTGGGCTGGAGGCTGCCCCGCTCATGGGTGGCAGGGAGTTCTGTAGAGCCTTAGCCTTCTTACTAACAGACCTTAGAGACATGGGAGGAAAAGCAATGTATTCATTCCCCTTGTTACTGTCACCAGGACAGGTGTGTCCCACTGGAATTGAGGTGGACCCCTACTGTCTCCCAAAGCCTGTATGAGAGCATCACAGGCCCCTTCTTAAGCCCGGAGCTCATGATATCCCCTGGGGTGGCAACAGCAGGGGGCATTACCGACAGCTGGAGCTCCTCTTCCTCTTGCCAGTCCCGTCCTCCAGGCACTGGGCATAGCCATCCAAGTTAAGCTGCCTCTCGTAAGGGGACACGACAGAGCTGTGGGGCGAGAACAGCAGGCAGGCAACAGATCCACCTTCTCAGACTGGTGCTGCCGGCAGGATTTGGGAGGGAGTGGCCAAGAGGATGAGCCAGAGGCCAGAGGCAGATCCATACCCAAAGGAAGGGTACCTGGGAACAGCCATAGGGGCCTAGTCACCCACCTCTGTCCAGGTCCCGAGTGTCAGCAATAATACCTGTGTAGCCCTGGCTGTTCTGGAACGTGCCATCAAGTACACGTTTATTTCTTGCACATACATACTACTGTTTCTCTGCTTGTTTGTTTTGTTTCCTGACAAAACTGACATTGTACTAACACACTACTTTAGATCTTTTTTCTTTCCCACTCAGTTACACACTGTGGGCTCAGACCCTCATCACTTAGCACCACAGCACTCTTCCTGCTATGAGAAGGGGAGAGGGCATGTGACAGGGAGAGACAGAGAGAGAGAGGGTGTGGAGGGGAGAACACACAACAGCAGGGTGCCTCTTGGGAGCTGTCTATCTTGTTTGAGGTGGGGGTTTCTAGTTGGCTTACAGCTCACTGATTAAGCCAGTCTGGCTACTGAGCCCCAGGAATCTGCCTGTCTCTGCCTCCCCAGTGCTAGGAATATAAGGATAAACACATGGCCTTGGGTTCTGAGGGACTGGGCTCAGGTCCTTGTACTTGCTGTAAATCCCCTTCCACCACTATGTATTTTTATAGCTCCCAATGCTGCACAGTTCAGGCGCAGCATGGTGGATAGCCACGAGTGTCTATTCACATTAAATCCAAGCCAATTAAAATTACGAAATGAGACCTCAAGTCCTGTCATTGCCGCAGAGGGCATCTTTGTACTACACAAGTCCTAGGTGACGACCGCTTTAAAAGAGCAGCCAGTTTGTGTGGGTAGGTCTCCGCAGCTGAGTCCAAGCTTCTCAAGTACTGATTCTACAAAGTGATGGCGTTTTGCGACTGTTCTTTAATACATAATAAGCAGGTAGCAGCTGCGATTTCGTTCTGTTCTTCCTCAGCCACTAGTTCAGGGCCTGGCATCAGAAGGTGCTCAATAATACTGCTGAGTGACGAACAATTCTCAGGAGGAACTTCTGCACACAGCCATGCTTGTCTCCCTAGAATAGATCCCACTTTGGGGAACTGCTTTAGGGTTTTGGGGACAGACTGTAGAGGCAACACCAGTTTCTACTGTAAGTCTGAAAGTGGCTGTGGCATTCAGCAAAGCTGGACCACTAGGTAATAGAGGGAGATCTAGCCCAGCCTAAGAATGTGAACGGCACCTCAATTATAAATCCCTCCCCAGCCCCTCGCTCATGCATGCACTCCACAAATGGGCCTGCACACCTACATGCCAGGCGCTGGCTACTGCAGTTCTGTGCTCACAGTGAGCTGCAGGTACTTGGTTATTACCTGAGCAGGGCCCAGTTTGACAACCCAGGAAAAAGTGCAGGAATGGAATTCACCCCCACATGCTGCACTGTAGCCAAAGGTCCCAGGTAAGTGGAGGCCACTATAACGGTCGGTCAGGTCCCCCGGCCGCAGTGGATGAGTCAAAGGACTTACCTCGGCTGGAACCGGCGAACCACGTAGCCTAGTCTCTTCAGGTGGCTGAAGACCTCAGGAGAAGAAAAAGGAAATCTTAGATGCTTTTTGTTTGCATGTTTGTTTGCAAGGCTCTTGCTATACGGTCCTAGCTATCCTGGAACTACGTGGACCAGCTAGCCTCACACTACTCAAAAGTCGTATTTCCCCCTCTAAACCTCTACGTGCTGGAATTGTGACAGGTACTACCATGCCTGGCTTAGATGTCCACTCTTTTTTTTTTTTTTTTTTTTTCGAGACAAGGTTTCTCTATATAACCTTGGCTGTCCTGGAACTTGCTTTGTAGACCAGGGCTGGTTTTGAACTCAGAGATCCGCCTGCCTCTGCCTCCCCAGTGCTGGGATCAAAGGCGTGTGCCCCCATGCCTGACTTGGATGTCCATTTTCTACAGTAACATAGTGGTTTCTCTAAACACAAGTCATTTCCTCTATCTCCTGAAACTCTCTCCTACAGAGCTCCAGGCTCCAACCTCGGGACTGCTTGGAACACATTCCATTATAAATATTACCCACACCAGGCCTACTGGTTCAAGCTTGTAATCCCATCTGCTAGGGAGGCTAAAGTAGGGGGATCACAAAATCATGGTCACGGGGCTGGAGAGATGGCTCAGAGATTAAGAGCATTGCCTGCTCTTCCAAAGGTCCTGAGTTCAATTCCCAGCAACCACATGGTGGCTCACAACCATCTGTAATGAGGTCTGGTGCCCTCTTCTGGCCTGCACCACAGACAGAATATTGTATTCATAATAAATAAATAAATAATATATATATTTAAAAAAAAAAACACAAAATCATGGTCAGTCTGGGGTACAGAGTGAGTTCAAGGTCAGTCTGTGAAATTTCCAAAGTCCCTGACTCAGAAAATAAAAGAGAGGGCAGGGCCACAGCTCAATGCGACAGTTTGCTAACACACATGGGCTGCTGGATTCTTCCCCAGTAGCACTAAAAGTAAATTAGCAAACACCATGTTCCAAGGAAGTTTCACTCTTTGAATTCTGTCTCTTATTCTGGGTACAAGTGACATCTAATAATTTATCGACAATACAAATCTCAAAAGAAAAACACAAACAGGGGTGGGCCTCCTGGGAAAGAACTACATCATAGAATATGTTGACATTAAAGTCTAGGCAAAACAGTGGTAGACAGTGTTAGACATCACTTACCCAACCCTCCACAGACTTGATGGGAATAGTCTCTGCTAAGTAGCCACACGTTATTGCTCGTGTCCTGTCCCCACAGCGGAGGAACAAACCCAAAAGTGTCCCCATCTCACTCAGTCTCCTCCCAGCATTCAACACAACTGATTGTTTTCTCCTTTAAAAATGAGCGCAGGGCATAGTGGCCTTTAACCTTAGCACTTGAGAGAGTGAGTCAGGCAGATCTCTGAGTTTGAGGCCAGCCTGGTCAACATAGTGAGTTCCAGGACAGACAAATCTGCACAGTAAGATCCTGTTTCAAAACAGAACACTGAAAAGAAGAAAAAGAGAGGAATGGAAGATTGTACTAGAGGCTTCGGCGTGGTTTCCTCTTCTCCTCCTGATCACGGATGGGTCCCATCTCTCCACTAACCTTCCCATATCTGTGAGCTCCAGAGGACAGTGACAGTCCCCTGCTGGTTGCACCCCCTCAGAGACAATGGCTTACACTACCCACAGCATGCAAACATCCAAGGTTATATTTCTAGCTTTGCCCTCACCCTACATTCTAGGTTGTATCTACTGTGTGCCTGAAATCCTGCTGGATGTCCAGGAAGTACCTCAACGTTACTTTGTATCAAACAGAACCCCTGAGTGGTCCCAGTCTTCCATATAAACACCCACCTCAGTCTTCCCAGCTAGATGACACCTTGGTAGTCACAAGCCTTGAGTCTCTCAGTCATCCAACCTTTCTTCCAAAACACTCCCGACATAGCTTTTCCTGCTCACTGCCCCTAGCCCAGCCTATATCTTCTCTCTCCTGAAAGAATGGTCCAGAACAGATCTTTTTCCTTGTCTAATTTGATCTTCCACCGAGCACTAATTCTCTTGGTTCTTGTTTGTTTAGTTCTGTTTAAGGCTGGGTTTCATTAGGTAGCCCAAGCTGATCTTAGACTTGAGACTGTCCTGCCTCAGCTTCCAGAGTGCTGGAATTACATACATGGGTAACCATGAGAAGCACTAAGTACTTTTTTTCCCCCTTTTTTCTTTTTGGATTTTTGAGACAGGATTTCTCCGTAGCTTTTGGTTCCTGTCCTGGAACTAGCTCTTGTAGACCAGGCTGGCCTCGAACTCACAGAGATCCGCCTGCCTCTGCCTCCCTAGTGCTGGGATTAAAGGCGTGCGCCACCACCGCCTGGCCACTAAGTACTTTTTGTTTTGAGACAGAGTCTCCAAATATATAGCATAACGAAACGGCTGGCCTGGAACTCACAAAGATCCTCCTGCTTCTGCCTCCTGAGCACTGGGACTAAAGTGTGTACCCCCCCCCCATGCCTGGCTACTTAGTAACTTTTTATTATCCAACTGCCTCCTCTGACTATAAGCCTGACCGGCACAGGCTCCTAACTCTCCTATAGATATTGTGCTTGCACCCTCAGAGGTACTTGTCACCATCCACTGGCTTGACCAACGGGAGGCTCCTTGAGAGGTAACTGATACCTGATATTGTAGGAAATTCAAGGTGTCCTCAGTCAGCAGCAGCTGGTAGGCCTCTTGGATGGACAGTGGTAGGTCTTGGTAGAAGAGCTGAATAGAGCCCTGGAAGCGGACCAAGGGCTTAGCTGTGTGTAACCTTCCTTCAGCGCCCAAGCCAAATGCGGTCAACTTCTTGCCTCTGACCCCCCCCCCCCCACACACACCCTCAGCATCACTGCATAACCCTGACCAGCTAGGAGAAAGGATTAGCATCATCCCTGCTGCCTGTGTGGCATTCTCTTCTGTTCTCCAAGTCCGCCTTTAAGTTCACCAAAAACGTAATTCTAAATTCTTCCTGGTCCTTCCCATTCCTTACTCTGAACCCCTTTCCCACGGCCCCAGGAGCCCACTCACACACTCCAGCAGATACAAGGCCTCTTCGGGGTGAAGCCGCTGCCGCCCTTGCTCTGAGTAGCCCATGGTCTGCCAGAATTTCCCCTGTGGGGCATCAGCGCAAGTGTCACCAAACAACTAAGGGGACCGAGGAAGAGGGATCCACCTCCCAGCCGCGGAGATGCTCGGGCCGCTCACCGCAGGCGACTTCAACTCCACGAAGCCCTCTTCGGGTCTCCACTCCGCGGCCACCAAGCTGCCCCTGGCGAGGAGTGGGTTGTGGGCGCCTCGGTCTACACGGGCAGTCCCCGGCCCCCGCCCACCCGGCCCCGGCCCCGGCCCCTCTCACAAGCGTTCCACGCGCTCCTCTGCCAGCAGCTGCCACAGCTCCTGGCGACACAGGCGCAGCCGCTCGGCCTGGGCCTCCGAGCCGTCCGGGAGGAAGTCCTTGGGGCCATGCGACCGCTGGGGCAGCTTCTGGGACCGCGAGCGAGCCGCCCGGAGTTCCGAGGCGCTGGGGCGAGCCGGGGACACGCGGTCAGCACCACGGCCACCCCGCGCGGCCCCGGCCCCACGCCACCACCCCCACGCCGCCCCCGTGCCGGGGAGCACCTGAGCACACGCCCCGCGGGAACCTCCACGGTCGCGGGTTCGGAGTCTGGCTCCATCGGGCTGCCTGCTGCGGCTGCGCGCGCACCGCCCAAGCCCCGCCCTCTCCGGGAACGTGCTGTCCGTGCGGTCCTAGCGCCCGGCGCTCCACTCCCGAGCGCAAATCCACCTGGCTTCGCGCCTTCCTACCTGCCCTGTGTCCCTCAGACACCTGTCTGTACACGTGTCCCTAGGTCGGCGGGGCCGAGTTTGATCTGCAGGTTTCCAAACGTGCAGGAACACACCTATTCTGTTTGCAGCGCTCCTGGGGCACCTCGCTCTAGTAAAATCTCCCCTGGCGACTGGGCATGCAGTATGAATAATCACGTGTGTGACCTCTCTCCAGCCCTGAACTGCCTCGTGCTCTTCCACTAAGAGGAAAGAGATGCGAGGTGGGGAGGAGAGCAGTGAGCCCTCGAATACCAGTTTTGCAAACTGGAGGCCACGTGGGGACGGTCAGGAGTGGTCCAGAGACATTCGGAGTTCCTTCGGGATGAGCCAAAAGAATCTCTCCAGAGGAGCTCGGCTGCAGGGTTCAAAGGCCACGGGTGGGAGGCGCTGTCCGGCTCACACTGGTGCTGAATCGCCACCCCAGCCTCCAAAAGCACCTCCTCAAGGCTGGGGTCCCCGCCGTGACACCGTGGGTCGTTCCTACGCTCACCACTAGGTGGCACCATTGCTCCAGCCAGCCGCCGTGGGTCAGCGACTCTGCTCGTGGACGAAGGTCGCTGCGGCCAAGCCGGGAGAAGATGGGACGAAAAGGAAGGGATCCCCGCCCCTAGTGGGGTCCTCAGGCTCAACCGCTAAAACGTCCCCTATTCTACTTATTCACACCTCATTCTCTGGTCTAGACTAGAGCCCAACTCGCTCGGGATCCCCAGCCAGGACACAGTGGCACGTAGCTTCATCCACCCGCCCTCTCACCAGCCACTTGGCACCCCAAACAGCTTCACCTGCGCGCATGCGCTGATCCCAGGGGCTCTGATCCTGGCTGGCTGGCGGGGGCGGGACCTAGTGAGATTGGGGCGGGACTGAGGGTGCTGATTGACAATCCGACTGTGCGGCTGGGACAGTCCCCCAGCTCCCGATCCGGCGGGAGGGAGGGGGGAGGGGCGGGATTTCCTGCGGGAGGCGCCGAGCCGGCCTTGGAAAGGAGGAGAAAGGGGTTGGTTGGGGGGGGGGCGACAGTGGAAACCAGCGTCAAGAGTGCTTGGGACTGAGCACCGCCAGCCAGACCCCCGGCGGGGCGGCCGGGAGAGGTGAGCCTGCGGGGCCCCGGCTGGGGGTCAGAATCCTTGAGAGCATACGCAAACTAACTTTTCTTGTCTGATCGGCGGGCGCCTCCATCTCTCTGCTCCTTCCGCCTTCCTTGAGCCCCCCCTTTTCGTTCTCCTCTATCTATCCCTCGGACTCTTGACTCTCCGGGTCCCTCTTGCCGCTTTGTTCCCGGGATCGGTCGGAGCTGGGCTTGGCTGCGGGGAGCTGCGCGGCGCTAGAGGGGCATTCCGAGGGGCGGGGGAGCCAGCCGACCCCAGGCACTGCCAGGAGCACCCTCCCCCGGTGCGGGTCGCGGGTTTTGAGGAGGAGTGCCCTCCGGCTTGGGCTTGGACTTATGAGGAATGAGGGGTTCCCTACCTGGGCCCCAGGCCTGCACGAGTCTCATGCCACAAGATTCTGGCAACAAAATCACCGCCACCGAGGTACTGACTTAAGGTTTTGTGCGGGAAGTCGAGAGTTGGGGTTTCAGATTCAGGCTTGGGAGGCAGTTGGTTAGCAGTGTCCAAGCCCTGGCCTGGGTCTCTACCCAGCTGTTCCCTCACACCCCAGAAGCAACAAGGAAGGGGTAGCAACAGGTGCTGTAGAACTTGCCTATCCTACAGGTAGACCGCCCCTACCCCGGAAAATGAGGGCCATAGCTCATCCCTCAGTGGAGCTGGGATGTTCACTTACTAAGTGAAGCCTAGGTAGTGAGGAGTCTGAGGGCAGACACCGTGGACAGGAGTGACCCCTGCCCATCTGTCTGTGCTACTCTTCCAGGCCCTACCTCTCGGCCCCGCCTGTTGTCTGTGGGTGTCAGAGCCTGGGGCTGTGGAGAATGGGCTGCTGGCCCTGCCTACCCCAGTGTCTCCTGCTGCCAGGGCCCCTCCTGCCCAAGGTTGAGGTGCTGCCCCGTGCCATGGGGCACAGGCAACTCAGCCCCTCCCTCCTGGAATACTACCCCCTCCCTTTGCGTGTTATAGTTATATACTTTTCTCAAGTACAGCACCTTCCTCCCCTCTCCCTGAGTGGCTCAGACCCTCCACGACTCCCAGGGCACCCAAAGTGATTTGGGGCTCTCTAGAGATCCTGTCTTGGTCATCGTCTGGGTCCTGTTTCCTGGCCGTGACCCAGCTTTTCAGCGGAGAACCTGTACCTTTTCCAGACCCCCGGGACTTGTCTACAGCTGCTGCCTCATGCGAGAGGGAATGCTGACTGCTCTCTGGATGGGCATTGGTGCTTCTGAGCTAACCCAGGAAAATTGGCGGGCCCAGTCTCAGCCCATCCCAAGGCCGTCGGAAGCAACAGGCTGATCTTAGTCCAGATTTCCACACAGCCTCCACCCCCTAGAGACTGACTTTCCTGCCTGTGGTGGCAGCTGCCAGAGCACCTTGAAGGACTATATCTCTGCCTGACAAGGAGCCCATTGCCTGGGACACCAGGCTTGTGCCCCTGGGACCAGGAGTCCTCCGAAGCATTGAGGCATGGCGGACTGACATTTGGCTGGACCAGCGTCTTGCTTCTTCCTGGACTCGGAAGCCCAGAGCCTGGCGGCGCCCTAGTCAGAATGGGTCGTGAGCAGGACCTGATCGTTGCCGTCAAGAACGGAGATGTGACGTGTGTGCAGAAACTGGTGGCTAAAGTCAAGGCTGCAAAAACAAGTGAGTCTTCCCTCGGTGGGGTGGCCATCCAGCTGAGGCTGCTCTCTGAGTACCGAGGCTACAGAGGGATGCTCAGTGGGGGAGGGGGAGGGGAGGGTAGCTTCGGTTTGCAGACTTGAGGAAGAAGGACTGTCCTGGTGTAGACAAGGAGTGCTTCTGTGTAAGAGTGTCAGAGAGGAAAGGGGGTCCCTTCTTGCTCTGGGTCCCCAGACAAGTCACTTAGCCACTCTGAGCCACGGAATCCTGGCCTGCGAAGGGCGCATATTGAAGCGCATTCTGTTTGCGTTTTTTTATCGTTTGTTGTGCGTCAGGCTCTTTTCTAAGCCCTGGAGGTTGCCTGTTGGTAGCTGGCTTTTCAGGTGTGTTCTTTGGCTTTGTGGGACTTGGCTGTGGGATGGGAAAGAAGGAAGAGAGCGCCGTGACCACCCCCAGTCCCATCTGCATAAAACCAGAGCTTCCCTGTATTTGTGTCGAACTTCATGAGGATGTCTGTAAAACCTCTTTGGAAACAGTGGTTGGGTTTCTGGTGTCATTGGTTGTTTGGTTTGGGGCTCTGAGAGGCTTAGAACCCAGGACCTCACACTTGGCACACAGTGATCTATCATCGCTGGCAGTGTATTCCCAGCCCCCAAAGAGAGCAGATTCCCGGGGACTCATAGCACCATCCAACCGGTACTAAAGCTCCTTGCTAGCTCACCTGCTGGTGTTCCTGGGAGTGTGTAGCCCATGCTAATTTTCTAGAGGTTTCCATAGCCCTGAGGACTCTATCCCTGACAGGGCAGTCAGGGCTGGATGCATGGGTGGCCACTAAGCCCCATCTCTCAGGACCCTGTGATGGTAGGGACCTCTCAAACCCACCCCAGGAAAATGGACCTCTGAACTTCAGGCGAGCACCCTGGGCTCTCCCAGACCCCGAGGCTTGTCTCCTCCAGGACTTACATGAGCCAGTAGTTCTTCCGGCTCCTCTGGGGTTAGAGAAAGTGTTCCCTGAGGGGAGGGTCTTCTTTGTAACATTGGGGTTTTAACCCCAAGCCACACCTGGGTCTTGTACACAGGAAGGAATCCCCAGGCTACTTGGAGACATCTTATTATTCCCGCCCACACCTTGGAGTGTGGGTGCCAAAAGGAAAGACGTTAGTGGCGTGCACCCACCTGCACAGCGAGGCGAGCAGGGTGGAGACCCAGCCATGGGGTGGAGCTGTGTCCCTAGTCCTTTCATCATGGGGAAGCGAATGAGGGTATGAGGGTGAGCGGGATAGAGGAAGGGGCCCAAGCGGTCCCCAGGAGATGGCCTGAAGGTCTGAGAGGGAGCCTACTCTCCTCCCCGCTCACCTCTGTGTTGCTTTTGGCCACCTGCCCAGTGGGGCCTTGATCACACTGCTGCTGGCCTCACCGGCCTGGCTGCCTTAGACAGTGAGGCCCATTGGAGGGTAGTAGCAGGGTCGGCTGGTGGCGAGACCCCCGCAACTAGGCTTGTCTTTTCTACCAGAGACAGAGCCTCTAGGGGTTGAAGTTCCTTCCCTGCGTCCAAGGTGTGGACTCCCCTATACAGGGGCAGACACACGGTGACAGGCCTGAGTGTCCTTTTAGATCTCTGCACCGTCCTTCCCTTCTTTGTCCTCTGAGAGACCAGTGACAAAGATGAGCTCACAGGTGACCTTTGTAAACCCTGGGGTTTGTGAAATGGTGTTACCCCCTGGCTTCCTGTCCGGTAGGAATTTCTACGGCCCTCTGGGGTTAGTGACTTACCCAAGGTCACATAGCCCTGGGGTCAGATGAGAGACTGATAAGCCTGTGTGCTTTCCTCACGTTTCCGTAGCGACCACTGATCTCTGTTCTGTCGGTACCACCTAAGGGACGTTCTACACACATAGAGTCCCCTAAATTAAAATTGTGCTAAAGAGCCTGGGACTCAGCCGGGCAGTGGTGGCGCAGAGGCAGGTGGATCTCTGTGAGTTCGAGGCCAGCCTGGTCTACAAGAGCTAGTTCCAGGACAGGCTCCAAAGCTACAGAGAAACCCTGTCTCAAGAAATCAAAAAAGAAAGAGAGAGAGAGAGAGACAGAGAGAGACAGAGAGAAAGAAAGAAAGAAAGAAAGAAAGAAAGAAAGAAAGAAAGAAAGAAAGAAAGAAAGAAAGAAAGAAAGAAAAGAGCGAGCCTGGGACTCTGTGGATGATACAGTTTATTTGAATCCAGTGCAATCTCAGAGAGCGATGCAGGGCCCCTGGACCAAAGCAAACCACTAAAATCAAGTCATCAGGGCGCCCCTTTTTCCTCTCACCCCACTGGCTGGGAGCCTCTAGCCCATGACTCTTTCCTTCCGCCTCGTCCTGATCCACCCTGTCCCAGGCCCTCTTCTGGAGCAGGCTGCTGGGAGGGGTGCCATTGCACCGGCCTTGCCTCTTCCCTCTGCCCCTCCCCATCTTTTTCTTGGCTAGAGGAAATGGATGGGCTGGGGTGACTGGCTGAACTCATATCCTCTGCTTGGGCCTGAGACGGGGTGACCCTTCCAGCCCCAAAGCCAGGCTGGGGAAGAAGGTTTTGCCACATCGGAAGTGACTGGTGCCTCGACAGGACCCTCCGCCCACCCGCCAGGGTCCCCAGCCCAGTTTCTGTGGGCCTCTTCTCCGCCACCTTTCCGGCTATTGTTCTAGAAAGAACAGAGCCACCTATCTGGCCCTGCCCCTGTTCCTGTGTCCCCTCTGTCACATTGCTTGCCCCTCCCTAGAAGGGACACATCCAGCCACCCAACTGTCCCATCCCAGACTTTCCGTGCTAGTGAAGGGAAGCCTCCCTCAAGGACTCTGGCGCTCCTCTCTTGGGACCTTGTCTTCACGGAGGCTTAAAAGGCACCTTGGCAGCCAAAGTCACGCAGCCCAGGAAAGACAGAGTAGCCTTTGAGCTGTGCACTTCCTGCTTCCACAGCTTCTGTTCTTTCCCTACTCCACCCCCACCTCCCCACCCCACCAA